CTTCTCAATGGCCCATTAACAGTGGGGATGGGCAGGAAGCTACAGGCAACTATTCTGTCTTTTAAAATATGTTTCTTTCTTTTCATCCAGAGAAATATTCTGCTTTTTCAATATTTCCTAGGATATTTCATTTTTCTGGGAGAGGGCTGGGTGATAACTTCCCACAGTTGGTTGCCTGGTTTCCGGTGTTTACTCCCACTTTCTGGCAATAAAACATCCATGGTGGAAAATAGATATCCTTAAGATATTGCCTTATAAAATGCACCACATTCGCTCAACAACTGTAGTGTTTGTTTAATTACCATTGTAAAAAACAAAAACAGTCATCTCTTCAAATTCAATCATGTGATGCCTCAACTTATGGCCGCAATGTAATTCCAGGCACAATCGCAGTTGTAAATTAAGGACTATCTGAATACCTTTGAATCACAGCCTTCAAAAGGAGATCTAAAGCAGAGATGGGGGAATGATGGCACCTTTATGACTGGAGGACTTCAACTCCCAGAATTCCTGAGCCAGATGGCCCAGGAATTCTGGGAGTTGAAGTCCACCAGTCATAAAAGGGCCTTGTTTCCCCACCACCTCCTCCGCTCTAAAGCAATATTTCTCAACCTTGACCATTTTAAGAAGGTTGGACTTCAATTCCCAGAATTCCCCAGCTGGCCATGCCGGCTGGGGAATTCTGGGAGTTGAAGTCTGCTTCTCTTAATGCTGCCGAGGTTGTAAACACAGCTCTAAGGAAGAGTTGATAAGGGCTGCAACTGGCACGTCAACCAAAGTGAAGCAGAGTGCACACACCACACATACACACAAAAATGCACACTGACCAGCACACTGCCTTTATTTGCCTAGCCGTGAAGCCACGAGTCCAGTAGGACTTCCAAATTGCAGGCCTGCTCCATCAGGTGAAGTGTCAATCCATCTGGGGCACCACTGGAGCAGACAGAATATTAGACATTCCTGGATGGAAACTGAATTTTGCTGGAATTCTGTTTCAGCCTGTTCCTTCTAATCCTCAGCCTCCGTGCCCCAGGCCTCAGGTTAAGACTTCTACTGTGTAAGTAGCTTGGCTCAGCTGGAAAGATATATTTAGATACCATAAGTACTCTGAACATCAGCATCGCCTGCCTGAACCAATGGATAATCTCTTCCAGTGACTCCGTGTATATGTTAAAGGAGGGAGGGAGGAAGAGAGGCAGAGGAAGAGAAAGGAGAGACAGAGACAGAGACAGGGAGACAGACAGACAGACAGAGAAAGAGGGGGAGAAAGAGAGAGAAAGAGAAAGAAAGAGGCGATTGGGTGAAAGGAGAGAGAGAGAAAGAAAGAGGAGATAGGGAGAAAGAGGGAGAGAGAAAGAGGAGATAAAGAAGAGCAGAAAGAGAAAGAGAGAGAAAAAAGAGGGGCAGTTAAGAGAAAGAGAGAGAGAGGAAAGAAAGAAAGAGAAAATAGGGAGAAAGAGGGGGAGAAAGAGAGAGAGAGAGAGAAGGGGAAAGAGAAAGAGAAAAAGAAAGAAAGAGGTGATTGGGTGAAAGGAGAGAGAGAGAGAGAAAGAAGAAAGAGGGAGAAAGAGGGAGAGAGAAAGAGAAAGAGGAGATGAAGAAGAGCAGAAAGAGAAAGAGAGAGAAAAAAGAGGGGCAGAAAGAGAAAGAGAGAGGAAAGAAAGAAAGAGAAGAGAGGGAGAAAGAGGGGGAGAAAGAGAGAGAAGGAGAAAGAGAAAGAGAAAAAGAAAAAGAAAGAAAGAGGTGATTGGGTGAAAGGAGAGAGTGAAAGAAGAAATAGGGAGAAAGAGGGAGAGAGAAAGAGAAAGAGGAGATGAAGAAGAGCAGAAAGAGAAAGAGAGAGAAAAAAGAGGGGCAGAAAGAGAGAGTGAAAGAAAGAAAGAAAGAAAGAAAAAGGAGATAGCCAAAAAAGGAGGGGAAAAAGAGAGAGAGACGGAGAGTCAATGAATAGACTCCACTCTCCACTAACTAGAACCAATGGGAGCCCTCAACTCCCAACCCCCGTAGGTGGCAAGGAAAGAAAGAAAGAAAGAAAGAAAGAAAGAAAGAAAGAA